TGTGTGTGTGTGTCAGCATGCACAGTGTGTTTGTTACTGTGTGTGTATGTGTTTGAGGCAGTAAAGTTGTGTGTTAAGGCAGGAGAAATGTTGTCTTCATTCTCCCCTCAGCCAGAGAATCTGCTCTTGGCCAGTAAGTGCAAGAACGCCGCTGTGAAGCTGGCCGACTTTGGACTGGCCATTGAGGTGCAGGGAGACCAGCAGGCATGGTTTGGTATGAAGACATTGCCATAATAACGCAAACCTGTAGTTTGATATTGAGAGACGCCCACAGAATTTATAACAAACATTTTAGAACTCGTTTGTACTGCATACATCTTTATTTTCACATTTTATTGTGGATTTTACAGGATTTGCAGGGACACCAGGTTACCTGTCCCCTGAGGTGCTGAGGAAGGAAGCATATGGCAAACCGGTGGACATCTGGGCCTGCGGTAAATAAACTCAAATGCAGTGACAAGCACATGCTCATTTTGAAGAAATTACAAGAGATTTATGTGATGTGTGCCAAAACTAAGTGAGTTGCCTTGCTGTCTACTTCACTGTCTACCTTCCCTGCTGATATAAAGCTATTTAAACCAGCCCAAGAGGGTTTTCTGTTCTCTGCTGGCCTCCTCTCCTAGTCAAGCTAGTCTGGTTGTCTGGTTTTAGAGGGGTTTTGGACACTTTCTCAATTTTTTGGCCCGCCAGCTAAACTATAAACACCAGCTTGACCAAGATGGAAGATCAAACAGACTAGGAAACTGGACTTAGGCTGGTTTATTTGTTTTCAGCAGGGTCCTAAAGGGATGTTCATACATAAAGAGATTTGCAGTGACAGATAGAGGAAGTCATTCATTTTCAGTGAGAGTTGGTGATTTCCAGTCAACCTGCATAACACCAATTAAGCCTATGAGCAAACAAAGGCACAGAGACTCAGCAACCTCATCTATTTTGTGCTTCTTTTGAGTATGGAACAAATAATATTAACTGGTAGCACTGTTTAACTGGCTGTACTGTATGCAACAGCCTTAAGAATGTTGCTTACTTAGGCTCTACATGGAACAGATTTTTTTTTCTTTTTAATTCTCTTTATTAAGGTGTGATTCTGTACATTCTGCTGGTTGGATATCCACCTTTCTGGGATGAGGATCAGCACAAACTTTACCAACAGATCAAAGCGGGAGCTTATGATGTGAGTTTTTGGATCGTTTCAGTTTTGTGTACAGTATTTACAAAAAATGATCAAAACGCATTATTGCTGTCACAAGTTTAGAAAATCACATTTAAATTTGTATTCGTTTTACTGTAGATTGCACAATGCATTTTTAACACTTAAAGACATTGTTTGTCCAATAGACTGCTAAAAGATGTATTTTAAAATAAAAGTAGCCTATTTCATAGAATGACTGATTTATTTTTTGGCTGAGCCAAAATTGACTCATATATCTTCATATTTCCAGTAAATTTAGAAAAGGGAACTTCAATAGGTGACTTAATTTTCTTAGAAATGCGCGATTTCTAGTCAAAAGTTACAGAAATTGCAAATTCCAACAGGTGGTTTATTTGATGCAGTGCTTGCTGACAGAGCTAAACTGTAGTTGTATAATAATCGTGTTTTTTATTTCTCTAATAGTTTCCATCTCCAGAATGGGACACAGTTACTCCTGAAGCCAAAAATCTCATCAATCAAATGCTAACCATAAACCCTGCCAAGAGGATCACTGCACAGGAAGCTCTCAAACACCCATGGGTCTGCGTATGTGTTCACCGACGCGCACATGCAGACATATAGAACACTTATACAAAAACAGCAAAACACGGGTATAGATATACAGTAAAAATCTTTTCCCTATTTGTTTCCATAGCAACGCTCTA